CAGCTACTTGGAAGGCTGAGGCGGAAGGATCGCTGGAGCCCAGCAGGTCGAGGCTGCGGTGGCCAGCAGCGGCCATGTACTCCAGTCTGAGTGACAGAGTGAGACTCCAACTCAAAAAAAAAAAAAAGAAAATGGCAGAAACATGGATGAGTGAACATCATACTACACATTGCTACTGTAATTCAATTCAACTTCGAAAAGTAATACATAGGTAACATCTCTTAAAATGTGTATACATTTTTTGGGTACCCTCTGTTTATTTATTTATTTTAGTGATGGGGCCTTATTATGCTGCCCAGGCTAGACTTGAAGTCCTCAAGCTCCTGAGCTCAAGTGATCCTCCTGCTTCAGCCTCCCAAGTAGCCGGGACCACAGGCACAGGCCACTCGACCTGGCTTCTGTCCCTGTGTAAATGAAGCCAGCTCATTTCTGTCCCAGGCAGGGTCCTGTCCCCAAGGTTCCAGGAGCCGTCTGGCCAGTCTTTTCAGAGGCCACGACTTCATCGACCGGTTTCTGTGAGCCTTAGTTAGCTCTGGCAGTCATAGGTGAAAATAAGCAAGAAGTGGGCAAGTGACTTGATTTCTTCGGAGTGAATGGCAAGTGCCAAGTCCCTTCTGTGCTTGACTAGCAACACACTGCCCACGCTCCATTCAGACACTTGGAAAAGCAGCATGACCAGGTCTCTGGCCAGGCGAATCCTTGGCTCTCTGAAAGCCCCACCTGCTGGTCCACACATAGGAGTGTCACAGGGGCTTGCGGGGCTGGGGGTGGAGGATGTGGCTTCACCTCCCTGCCCTTCCTGAGACAAAGTCGGTACTCACCTCCTCCAGGAAGCCTTCTATTATTTGTTCACTGTACCCCTCCCCACCCTAAAACAGACTTCCCCTCTGCGTCACTTCGGCCCGTGGCCCCCATTTACAGTCTGCACTACACACCACCCTCAGCCCCTGGTTCATCTCCCCAGCCCAGTCTCACACCCGGGTCTGGCATAAACACCTTCTAGCCAAGGGCCTGGGTGCCAAGGCAGCCTCGAGGGCACTGAATGGGATGACCCTTGCTATCCCCCAACCCTGTCCCCTTATCTCCACGCCCCCGGCCAGCAGGGACCCACCTGGTGCATCTTATTCAGACACTCGTTTCCAATCTGCAGCCCTTCCATCACCTTCATTTCAATCTGGGTGAATTCGATACTCTGAACCTGGAGAGGAAACCAGCCCAGACCCATGTGCTCAGAGCCCAGTTGCCTCCTCCTGACCCGGGGCAGGGTTTGGGAGGACGCTGTTGCTGACTAGGCGCTTATGGGTGTCAGGACAAGTCTTGAGCCACCCTCCTCCCTGAGCTCTCCTGTTGCCAGCTGGGGACAGGGCAGGCCTGAGAAGGCACCTGGGAGACCCTCTACGGGTCACTGGCTGCTGGCAAAGAGCTGAGCCACACTGCCCAGGTCCCTAACACCAGAGACCCGCAAGCTACCCCCTCAGCCTCTCTTTAGGCACCTGGAAGACCATGACCCACCCACACCACCACTCTGGCTGGCCCAGCCCTCCAGAGCACACTCCTGTGAGGGCCCCATTCCCAGACCCTCAGACCACTGGATTCCTGGCAAAGACTCCCATCCAAGCCCGGGCCTGCTCCACGGCCTTTACGCTTGAGCTTTGGCCTGGGAGTCTGAGAAAGGGGGAGGGTACATGTTCAGTTCCCAGGTGGTCTGACCTCCATGCAGCCTGGGGAACGGCCTCAGGGTGACGGCCTTGCTGCCTACCATGGTCTCCAGGCTGCTGATCTGGTTCTCCGTCTTGTCCAAGAGCTGCTCCTGGTATCGCTTCTTCTTGAGCAGCAGCTTGGCCCGTCTGCGTAGAGAAGCCAAGGGGTGACCCACTGTGGCCCCTGAGCACTGACTGGCCTCTCAGGCCCCCGACCCTGCTCCAGCCGGCAGGGGGCAACCCCCTCTGCCCAGCCCACTCACTCCTTCCGGCCGTCCCGCAGCAGCTGCCGCGCCAGGGCCCGCTCCCGCTCCAGCTGCTGCGTGATGCGCTTCTGGTACTGCTTCAGCTTGTCACGCTGCTGCTTCAGTTGCTGCAGGAGAGCAGGCCCTGTGTCACCTGTGCCCAGTCAGTAGGGCTCGCCACGCCACCCAGTGCCAACATGGAGGCTGGAGTGGTCACTGTGTGAACCCCTACAGGCCAGACACCCCTAAAACAGTGCTCCCCACGGAGCATGTTTTTTTGTCTCCCAGGGGATGTCTGGCATTATCTGGAAATGTCTGGTTGTCACAACTGGGGGGTTCTAGTGGCATCTGGTGGGTGCAGCCAGGGACGCGGCTCCACATCCTGCCACGCACAGGGCTGTGTCCACCACAGACTCATTCAGACCTTCCAGTGCACCACGGCACGGCACAGGGCCACGGAGCCACTGTTGGCCACCTCAAATGCTGTCTGCAAGCAGCGTGAGGGCTTAGGGTCAGGCTAGAGAGTGGCTGCCAGGTCCTGGAAAGTCGGGACACTAGAGAACACACAGGTGACAGGCACCTGAGCACCAAGCCAGGTGGGGGCTGGGACACCCGCCTGGGCTACTTTCCCTGGGGGCTTCCTGCTCCCCTCACTAAGCAGCCACCTACACAGACACGCCCCACCAACCACCTTCCACCACATAAGCTGTACCACAAAGGAAACATGTCACTGGGAACACTAGCCAGCCCTCGCCACTTAGGCTGTTTATGTGTTGTCCCAATGTCACCATTCCCGATGATGCCATGCCAAGCCCGAGTGGGCCAGGGTGCATCTGGCACCTGGGATTACATCCTCAGGGTAGGTTACTGCAGGTGAATTAACTAAGTCAAGGCGTGTGTGTGTCTTGAAGACTCAGCACGGTAAGAGATTACTCCCCAGCACAGACGCCACCAGCAGTTCTGCCGGAAGGGCCCGTTCCTGGCTCCCTCTACCCGGTGAAGGGTCCTCTTTCCAGCATCTGAGGCTTGCGGGTCCTGCTGTCCTTTCCTTGCTACAGTGAAAGGTGGCCACTCTCCCAGCCCCACAGCTCGGGAGACCCCGGGCCAGTCTAAGTGTCCAGTCCTTCCCAGCTCTGCTGAGAGGGCCATTATCCACGTCAGCTGTAAACAAAATCTTATATAAGAGTCTGGTCTCAGGAAGAGATTGGAGGAGCCAAAGGGAGGCAGGTGTGGCCAGGCTGCCCTGTCATAAAAACAAGTCTCCGCAGAGGTCACAGACAGCAGGCCAGGCTCACCTGTTAGCCTAGGAAAACATAAAGCAATCATTTGTGTTTGTTATGTGTTAATTATGCTGTTTCTGAGCATCTGAAACTGCAAGGAGGTCAAGGCAAATGGAACCCAAGCCTGCACTGCTGCAGAAGCTGCCAAAGGGACTCCTGGCAAGGAGAAATCCTATTTGAAGAGAAGGTGGAGGCGAGTCGAGAGAGAGAGAGAGAGAGAGAGAGAGAGAGAGAGAGAGAGAGAGAGAATATGAATCACCTTGGGAGCTTTCTGCTCTGGCCAGAGCAGGGGAGAGTACAGCTGGGCAGACTGGGCCTTGTTGTCCATTTTCTCTAGAGACAAACATGCTCTAGAGAAACTTTTTAGAGTTTATGGGTTCAGAAGCCAACATAAGAAACTATCTTTCGTCGGGCTCGGTGGCTCAGCCTGTAATCCCGCGCCTTTGGGAGGCTGAGGTGAGTGGATTGCCTGAGCCTGCGGGTTTGAGACCCGCCTGGGCAGCAAGACCTCATCTTTACAATAAATCAAAAATTAGCCGGGCGTGGTGGCACGCGCCTGTAGTTCCAGCAACTCGGAAGGCTGCGGCGAAAGGATCGCTGGAGCCCAGCAGGTTGAGGCTGCAGTGGCTGGGAGTCACCACTGTACTCCAGTCTGGGCAACAAGAGTGAGACTCCAACTCAAAAAAAAAAAAGAGACTATCTTTCCTTTGTATGTCTTAATGTAAAAATAACCTATTTTTTGTTGTAGAAAATAAAACATCAGAAAAGGTAAACCCTCCTGACATCTTTCTAAAAAATACAGACAGGTTCTTGCTATGTTGCCCAGACTGGTCTTGAGCTCCTGACTTTAAGCGACCCTCCTTCCTTGGCCTCCCAGAGTTGGGACTGCAGGCTGAACCCTCGGGCTGGCCGCTGCTCATATCCTGGAATCTCTCTTTCCTGACACATTTCTCTCAACACAAACATGGACTGTTCTCAACACACCACTCAGCACACTGCACCATTCTTCCCCAAGAAATTAGCCTTCCTATCAGAACTCCCTGGAAGGGCCGCCTGAATCTACAGGTAGGAGCATCATCAGCGTCTCAGCTTCCCAGGGCCGGGTCTGGCCACCGTGGGATCAGTACGGGAGGGTCGCAAACAAGCTCACCCAACACCCCGGTTTAGTATCAAAGCGCTTTAGGGACTCATCAGGGCTGCAGACTCCAGGGAAGCCAAGGCAGATAGATGTCCAGCCCGTCCTGAATCCTACTCGTGCCGCGGCCGTTCCGGGATTAGGCGCTGGTTTTCTCTAAGTCCCGTTCCTGGAAGGGGCAGGGCCGGGCCTCCCCGCTCCGCCGCCCGCGCCCGCCCCAGGCCAGCGGCACCGGGGGACTCGGACCCGCGGAGGGCGAAGGGACACGCACAGACCGTGGCGGAAACGACCCCAGAGACGAGCCTGGGCCGCGTCGGGAGCCCGGGCGGGGCCGGGACGGCTCCCGGGGTCACAGCGAGGAAGCCCCGGCCGCAGTGTGGACGCCCCTACAGACGGGACAACCGGGCTGTCCCCGCAGCCCCCAGTAGGCAGCCGCCGTCGGAGCCTCACCCGGGGCGCCGGCGGCGAAGACGCGATGCAAACTCCGGGGCCGGCCGGGGGGACTCCTCGTCGGGCCACCGCGCCCCCCGTCCGCAGACGCGAACGCACGGGGTCCCGGGGGAAGCCGCTCCGCTCGGGCCCGGCCAGGGTCGCGAAGTCCCACGCCCGGGAGACGCCCCCGCCAGTCCGAGACCCGGGGGGT